CCTCAGTTTGCAAAAAAAAAAAAAAACAAGGCACTCACTGGTTCAAAATAAAATGCCTTTATTAACTAATAAAGGCATTTTATTTTGAACCAGTGAGTGCCTTGTTTTTTTGGGGTTTTTTTGCATCTTTGTACTGACTTCCCTTCCCAAAGAGCACCACTGAGTTGGATCTACTGTGTATTATCCTCTGGAGGTCCAGGAAGCGCTTCTTCTGAAACATTTTTTAATCACCTCAGTTTGTCTTGCTCCTTTTCTCCTTCTCTTCATCTTTCAGTGACCTCAAAAATTGACTTTCTTTTGTGGTGAACTGGCTGTGGATTCTCGTCCGACATCGCAACAAACTTTGTACGAACTGCGAGGAAGTTCCAGTTTAAAAAGGCCTCTAAGGCTGCATTCAGACTGCAGCCTGAAGTGACCCAAATCAGATTTTTTGGCTTCTATGTGACCTGTATCCGAACTTGTAATGACAGTCTGAACGACACAGATCTGATTTTTTCAAATGTGACCCAGGTCACTTGGATATGTGCTCCTGAAACTGATACATATCTGATCTTTTGACATGTGGCTTCAGTGTGAACGGTCAAAGTGCATTCATCCACCTACACGTTATCAACAAGCCACAAACGTCACTATTCTGCGCTGAAGTAGGCGAAAATTGTTAATGAACTCCGTGTCACTGAAGTGAAGCACATCACCACTCACCACTCTTGGCTACGTCTCCACATCCACACGTTCCTTTCAACGGACGTCGCTGCCGCTGCCCCACAAAACACCACGGCCAAGAACCTCATCCTTCTCCTTCTCAATCTCCTCCTTAAAACAAGTAAGTTGTTCATGTTCTGGCTCCAGTACAAGAGGAACTTTAAAATCTCCAGGTGCTCAATGCTGCGTCCATGTTTGGACAATTTCCATAAACACAGAGACGCTCGCTGCGGTTGACGTCATCATGTCCTCCAGTGTGCATGCGGGACACTTTCGGGTCGTTTAATGTTCACACTGGAGATCACACACAAGTCACATTTAATTGGAAATGTGAAACATCGGATTTCACAAAAAAGTCTGAACTGAGCGTTAAGCCCTGCAGTCTGAACGCAGCCTAAGAACCGCTGCATAGTTACCCTAGAAACATAGGGAATTTGATTGACAACCTAACAGCCAATAGAAAATGAGGGAGCCTTGTTTTCTATTGGCTGATGTTTATCTGGCCTCACTACGTCCACAGTTGATAGATTTTCATTCTTTTTTTTTTTCTTTTTTTTGGTCATCATAATTACAAGGCTGCTGCGTCTCTGTAATGATATTTTAAACTTTCAATGACAATTTGAAACTGAAAAACTAAAATCCTCCATACAACCTTTAAATCAAATATAGTGGCTCTTGAATGTCTAGAACACCAGTATAACATAACTGAATTTAACTGAATGATTTCACAACAAGCTTATCAAGGTCATGTGAGGTCATCGAGAAAATAGGTGAGGAGCAGGGTGAGGCCACTCCACGGTGGAAACACAAAAAACCATAGTGCTAGTGTTTGTTTTACACTGTGTCATTTATATTTATATTCAGGGTCTGTTTTGATGCATCTTATTTTAAATGCATGTGATTATTTATTTGATTTGATCACAGTTTTATTATTATCTGTTGTTTCTGCTGCAGCTCAGTTTAACAGTGCACTGATAAGGCAGGGTCAGCCGTCCCTTTCTCAGTATGCAGACTCTGTACTCGAGTACTCTGGGTACAGACTTGTGGAGCACACTATAATAAAAGCTAATAGCACAAAAAAAAGCATCAAAAAAAAAAAAGAAGAAAAATATTGTATACAGTGACCATGCAAATTTAGACCAAGATTAATTATTATGCTTTTAATATTTAAAGAATTCTAAGATATAATATAATGAGAAAAAATAATGATGCTAAAAGTGATATATATTTAAAATTATGAAGAAGTGGAAGCAGTGAGAGAAAGTTTTATTCATCACATCTGCTACAACACAGCATGTGTAGGTTTACTAGCATGTATGAAAAATGTGTCACCTTTATGGAAATTGTTTGAAATAAAACCATTCGATCTGATCATTAACTGTACTGATTTCCACGCTCATTGGACAAGTGTCCTTCGATATGTCCCTGGTAAAATAGGCGGAGCCAGTTCTCATTTGGGGATTTTCAGTGAACTTGCCGAGCGTATTTGAATTGGAACAGGACTTGGGTCATGGAGCGTGGCATTTCACAGGTCCACAAGCACACAAGTCTGCACAAGTGTGGTGTCAGTGCAGTGTGAGGAGAGTAACAGCCCTCAGGATAAAAGTGTCTCCTCTGTATCCTCACAGTCTGCCTTTAGGAGTATGACCCAAATCAACAGCCCGTGTATTTAAACTAAATGCCCCAGTACAGATATATTTTATAAGCAGTTCTTGAGAATAAAATAAGTTTGCTGTGTACCTTCTGGTTCTTAGAAAGCATTCATCATTTTATTGTCCTGTAATCAGGAAGTGATGTGACTGTTCCCTCTGCCTGTCTCATCATGTGGAGCAGAGCTCAGCTCAGGAACACTCCCCCTCCTGACCTCCACAACACTCCCTCACTCCCACATTTCTAATCTAAACTCAAAACACACCTGCTGGCCTATTCACTCCACCACACCAGCAGACCACAACTGCACTGTCCCACTTTAACTCGATGCTTTTAACTCGATGTTTTTTTAATTGTATTTAACTTTATTTATGTTTTGTATTTGTTTATTGTTGTAAGGTGACCTTGAGTGTCCAGAAAGGTGCCTAATAAATAAAATGTATTATTATAAAATGTATTTTAAGTGTGTTTTAGCATGATAGTTGAACTTTACCATAATCTCAGAGTTGTTAAAGTTTGTCTGCAGTCGTCCAGTTTATAAGCACTAGTTCTGTTTTTCATTTTAGTAAGAAAGTAAAAATCAAGTAGAGCTCCTTCAGACTTGTCAAAATCTGATTGTTGAAGTGTTGAGTGGTGAGAACATTTAAGAAGCCAGGATTTATTTTTATGAAGAAAGAAGTCTTTAACACAGTCAGGATTGTGTTTACTTCACCCTGCTCCTTTGGGGCATGGAGTCTGTGTGCTGCACTCAGCTCTTAAAAAGCACCAAAAATGTACAATGGAAGCATGATGTGATGGAATGTTGTGATTTCTCTTTCCAGTGAGCCAGAGGTAATTATTCTAAAACATGATCTGGCTCCTAACCAACATGTGTAATTTTCCTTAGGGTCCATGACCTTAGTGGTATTTTGAGAAGAGAAAAGAGCACACTGTACATGTTGTCCTATAGGCTCAGAACACTCAGGGGCAGGGACAATGGAGGCTGCAGGCTTATATGTGACGTGTGAACAGTCAGAGCACAGTCTGTCTGCAGCACCACTCAGGTCAGTATACTAACATCTTTCTCCATCCAACTGTTTAAGTGTGTGTGTCAGGTTAGACTCATTTCACTAAGAAAGTTAAAGGGCCCACAGTACATTATTTTCTGATCTCTGTTCTAATGTTGTTTCTCCATCGAGACAGACCTGAGTTGTGTTTTGTTTCATTCACACATGTTTAACACAAATCCTGCATATTTAGGCTGAGTTCTTTTCTCAAACTGAAAACACTCTGTTCCACCTTGTGATGTCATGTGATAATGAAGGAAGTGCTCCACTGTGTTTTTAAACTCCACACATCTTTATGTGGATGTGGATAATGTCAGCCCTGGAATTGTCAGTCTGCTGAACTAAAGGGAGCTGTTCAGTTGAAAACTACTACTTCATGAAATCTCTTCAAGAAATGTCCTTTAGCACAGCAAGAAGAGAAAATAAAGACCTCTGAAACAAAATGTCTTTTTAAAATTTTATTCTGCAGCAGGAGGAGACAGTCTAACAGAGCATCACCCCGGGCTCAGACTGCCCCCAGTGCAGCTGCAGCTCAGTGTGGGACTGGTCTTATTGTGACCCTCACACGAGGACCAGAGCTCTGCTCTGCTGTTGCGGTCACCGCCTTTGAAAGCAGCACAGAGACCACGTGTTCATGACATTACTATTTATCTATTAAAGGAAAAGGCTGCGGTCGGTAGCTCAGTTGGTAGAGCATTCGCCCACTGATCTGAAGGTTGGAGGTTTGATTCCAGCTCTCGACATAAACATCACAGGTTGAGCGGTCAGATCCACTGACCCACAGGTTGGCTGGTGTGATTCCAGCTCCCACAGATGAATGCTGCTGTTGTGTCCTTGGGCAAGACGCTTAACCCACCTTGCCCACAGTGTCTGTGTACACTGGTGTGTGAATGGGTGAGTGGTTCCTTGTTGTAAAGCGCTTTGAGTGCCTTAAAGTTGGAAAAGCGCTATAGAAAAATGTGACCTATTACTAATACTACTATTATTACTACTACCACTACTACTACTACTCAGACCGATCATAGAGCAGCATTGAGGTTTGTGTAGAAGCGCCAAAAAAAAAAAAAAATGTACAGAAGTTAAGCAGTTTGTGCATTTATGAACAGGAAGAATGACCGTGCTTTTCTCTCAACTGGATGTAACAAAAGTTTGATTGTTTGGTGTGTTCCACTGTTGTGACACTTCAACCAATCAGACTTAAACAGTCGTCATGACGTTCCTCCTTCTCTGATCATCTACGTTGAGCTGTGGTGTGAGCCAGGTTATGGAATCACAAGGTCCATGGCGATTCAATACAATACGAGATACATGACTCATGATATAATGTTAGATAATTATTATATTATCACTTTTTTAAAGAAGAATACATTTAACAACAATATTTATTTGTTAGACCACTACCTATACAAACTTAACATGAAATACAACTATTTGGATCATCAAACCAGTGAATACGGCAAATGTAATGTAAATAAACAAAATGGAACCAAGCATTTTCAGCTGGACAAAGACAAAATTTCAAGGATTACTGAAACTTGCACAAACACAATAAAATACAACTGCAGATGTCTTTGCTTATATCTTATTTTCTATTTTTCAGCCATGAAGATCCTGTGCCTCCTCCCGCTGCTCCTCCTGGCTCTTTGCGACGGGAGCAGAGATCGTGACTGGGCGCACCACGGTTCGCCCATGTTCGCTGACCTGTCTGTTCGGGAGCTAAAAGCCGTACGCTCTTACCTCCACAACATCCCAGAACTCGGCCTGACCAGTGCCCAGAATCCCAGCCTGAAGAAGAACAGCATCCTCCTCATGGAACTCCACCTGCCCAGGAAGCATGAAGCGCTCCGAGCTCTGGACCGTGGACATGCCAGACCCCCTCGCCAGGCCCGCGTCGTGGTCCAGTTTGGAAACCAGACGAAACCCAATATCACTGAATACATCGTCGGGCCCCTTCCCTCTCCAAACTCCCACCACATCAAAACCTTTAAAGGAAATAGACCGGTCCGCTTCGAGTCCAGGCCAATCACTAGGGCCGAATATGCACACGTTGAAGATCTTTTGATAAAAATTTCTACCAAAGCTCATAAACTTTTAGAAGAGCTAACAGGAGGGTTCTCTTACATCAACTGCACCGATCGCTGTTTGACATTTTCTGATATAGCCCCACGTGGACTGGAGCCAGGAGAGAGAAGATCTTGGATAATGCTACAGAAGTTTGTGGAGGGTTACTTCATCCACCCAATTGGATTTGAGGTTCTGATCAACCACCAAGACCTAGATCCAGAAAAGTGGACTGTAGAAAAGGTCTGGTTCAATAGCATGTACTTTGACAGTGTTGAAGAACTTGTTGAAAGATATGAACAAGGAGTACTGGAGATTCCAACGCTACCAGATCAGGACGATATATATTCAACATATATTCCACGTGGACACAGCAACACCCCAACGGACATCCATGGAGCAAAACTTGTAGAACCGCAAGGCCGCCGCTACCACCTTGACAGAAACTTCGTCGAGTACGCCGGGTGGTCATTTTCTTACCGCGTACGAGCATCCGCAGGTCTTCAAGTCTTTGATTTACGTTTTAACGGAGAAAGAATTGCATACGAGATTAGCCTCCAAGAAGCTATCGCATTCTATGCCGGAGATACCCCAGCCGCAATGCAAACCAAGTACATTGACGCTGGTTGGGCGATGGGTACCTCCTCGTTCGAGCTTGCACCTGGGATCGACTGTCCCGAAATCGCCACGTTTGTTGACCTCTACCACTTCTACGACACAGATAAGCCGGTACGCCACAAGAACGCACTCTGTATCTTTGAGATGACCACAGGGATGCCGCTCAGAAGGCATTTCAATTCGAACTTCAGTGGAGGGTACAACTTCTTCGCCGGGCTGGAGAACACAGTGCTGGTGTTGAGGACAACGTCTACAGTCTATAACTACGACTACATCTGGGACTTCCTCTTCTACCAGAATGGGGTTGTGGAGGTCAGGGTCAGTGCCACGGGATATATTCATGCAACGTTCTTCACTCCAAACGGTCTCAACTATGGCACCAAAGTGTTCCACTATGTCCTGGGGAACCTGCACACCCACCTCATCCATTATAAAGTGGATCTGGATATCGCAGGTAGGACATAATTTTAGTATTGATAAGTATGTATATGTTACTCTTTTGATTAGGAAATCTCTTCTCTCTCTAGGAAATCTGTCAAACTTGTCCATAAGTTTTAGACGTAATATGATAAACTGGTCCAAACTGGAGGGAATTTTCCTTCACATCACTGTAATAAAACACATGTAATAACATAGATCATAGAGTCATAGAGTTACACAGCAAGAAATGTCTGGACTAAACTTGAGGTGTCTTTGGTATAGCAGTGCAATAATCTGCTTCAAGGCCAAACTTCTAAGGGTAAAATGGTGAAAATTCTGATGGTAGTCTACACAAATACTGATCCCCATCACTTAGACTAACACTGGGATTATTGTTGTGAGTCTAGACGAGATGACCTTTGCACTTTTCATGTCATAAAGTGTCATAAAGTGTGCTTCACTATTAAACAGCCTGACCTAATGCCTAACCAATATGACTGTGCAAACAACAGATACTCTGAATGAATGAGCCAACTGTGTCCTCAGATACAAGGTAAACAAGTTCCAATCAAAGAGCTCTTGATGGTAACAATTCTTAATTACAAAAAACAATTAACTGGATGGCCAAGCTGTTCATGTTATAATTGTGTCAGTTTCACTGCTGAAATCCAGTTGGTTTAAACCTAAAATGTCTCTCTCTGATCTGAATGGTCTCTACCTAAACCCCAGCACCTGCAGCATCATGAGTCAGTGCTAGTGCAGCCTCTGAAGCTCAGGGAGGGAGTTCTGGAGGGTCTGAGCTTTCACATGAGGTCTGTCCATATATGTGAAAAATGTGTGTGTCCTCTATTTGCAGGTTTAGGCCCTGGCAGCACAGGTTCATTTATTGTTATAGCTGTTATAAAACGTACGTTATATAAATTCCTTATAAATTCCTCTTCCCTGAAGATGTGGTGTGTACACAGAGCTGAGGTACATGGCCTGACCCTTGGTGTGTGTCTTCTGTCTTATCTTTACTCAGGTCGAGAAAACAGCTTTGAAACAATTGACCTCAAATACACCAACTTCACCAACCCCTGGAGCCCTAGACATTTCATTGTCCAGTCCAAGCTCCACCGCACAGAGCACAAGACGGAGAAGTCTGCTGCCTTCCGCTTCGGCAAAAAGTTCCCTCGCTACACGCATTTTTACAACCCCGTCCAGAAGAACAAGTGGGGCCATCACAAAGGTTACCGCATCCAGTTCAACTCCCACGCCCACAGCGTCCTGCCCCGAGGCTGGAGGGAGGAGAACGGCATCAGCTGGGCAAGGTGGAGGACAACTTATTCTTTACTTATTCTTTTTCCACAGAAAGTCCCATCATAGTTATGACTTGCACTCAACAGTGACGGTGAATAGTCAAGAGTGAAATGGTTTCAGTTTATACAGCTGTATTTCACCTCATTATAGTGAAGTGCTTTACACTCAGGAACAATTTTCCACTTACACATACACAAGTATACGCAAATGAAAGCACGGCAGGTTGAAGTGTCCTGCTCAGAAGAACAGTGTGCACTGGTAGAGGTCAACTATTGGGAGAGCTGTGCTATTGCCAAAATATGCATATTTTAAGTTATTCCTTATGTTTTGTCCGTGAGTACATGTTCTAAGGCAGACATGTCCAAACTATGGCCGTGGGCCAAATGCGGCCCTCTGACAAATTTTTCTTGGCCCTCAGCCTTCCAGGTGAATTGGCCCAAATTACCTTGCTTCATTTATAAATTAACTATTTACTGCAAGTTTTTTTTTTTTTTTATCTACCTTGATAAAGCAAATATTTAATATTTAGTGTTTGGTTTTAAGGATCTTAGCATGAATAAAGACTGACGGTTCATTCTAATGTGTTAAACATGCACAGATTTCAATTATTCACTGTATTGAGCTCCAGTCTCCGGCCCCCGATCAGACCTCTGCTTTGTCTGTGTTGCCCTTGATGAAAAAAGTTTGGACACTCCTTTTCTAAGGTCATCAGTCATAATACCTTTTGCCAGAATAATTGTTAGAGGGGAGAATGTATGATTTTTTTTTGTTGTTGTTGTAAATTTCTGTTCATTTCCACTTGAAATGCATCAGCCAGGAGGGTTACAAGAGTCTGCAGCCTGAGGTTTCTCTCGTGCTCTTGTTCCTCTCCTGTGGACATCTTCGTGTTATAAATGATCCGTGTTCCTCTGCAGATATCCTCTGGCAGTGACTCGGCACAAGGACAGTGAGAGCAGCAGCAGCAGCATCTACACTCAGAATGACCCCTGGGAGCCTGTCGTGTCCTTTGAAGACTACATCCGCAACGACGAGGACCTGGTCAAACAGGTCTGTACACAGCTCCATGTGTGCTACGACTTTGTCACAAGTCACATAGTTTTAAATAATGTTGTTAATTTATCAAAGGAACAGTGCACATTAAAAGAAGTGACTGTGGAATATAATCTCATGGTATGTTGGTTTTATGAGCAGGGTGACAAACAACGTCACCAAAATGACATAGTTGCTGTAATCCTGAATACGCAATTTGGAAGAATGTTTAGGACACAGTTGTTAGTGTGTTATTGATTTCATGAAGCTCTGACCCTCTATACACAGGACCTGGTTGCCTGGGTGACGGTGGGCTTCCTCCATGTGCCTCACTCAGAGGACATTCCAAACACGGCCACTCCGGGGAATGCCGTGGGCTTCTTCCTGAGGCCCTTTAACTTCTTTGACGAGGATCCGTCCCTGTCATCGCGCAGCACTGTGATCGTCCGGCCTGGGCCTGACGGAGCGCCTCAGGTGCAGAGGTGGACCCCCACCACAGTCGGCCACTGTGTTTCTGATAAACCTTTCTTCTACAATGGAACTTATGTTGAAGTGTAATGAATGTGCTACAAAGACAAAATCTTACAGTATATATTAAAATGTGAATTATTTTGATGGTTTCAGCGCTGCTGGAAAACAAATCAACACCAGACTTAAAGGAGACATATTATGTCAAATCAGCATTTGTGAACTTTTAGTATTCACTCTAATCTCATATTGTCCTGCACTCAAGGCTTGAGTGCTCTGAAAATGTCTGTATTCACCTACCCCCTGTCTCTGCCCACTTGACTTTTTCTCCTTCTGATTATTCAAAACATGTAGATTCCGGGTCATAAAAATGTCACATTTGGATGTTTCAACAATAAAAACACAAAGTCACTCTACTGTTTGCTGCGGTGAAGTGTCACTTTGAAGGCACCTGGACCTGTTTATTTTACTAAGCCCTTTTAGATCAATGTTATGGTTCACAATGAACAAGATGTAATGGTCCTGACCTAAGCATTTGCTGAACTGGTCACAAACTAACATATAATTATTTTAAAAGTTAAGGCATTCCTTTACATTCACTACACAGTTTCTGAGGTGCAAACTCTGTGCTGTTTGAATATTGCAGTGAAATGCTCTGTGAGGTCGTTTGAAGTCCACACTTGCTCTAAGGGCATATTGAAGTTTCGGTGAAGTATGGATGTAAACATTCTAAACACTGTGACACTGAATGTCTCAGCTCTCTGCATTTGAAGTGCACAAGTGACATATTTGTTTTGCTATGAACAAACACAGAACAGAGCAGGTCTTTCATTTTATTGTTATGCACAAGCTGCTCCATCCAGGCACCCAAACACCCAGACCCAGACATATCTTTGTATAGTATAAGAAAGGCATGGAGTCTTGGCTGACCAGGCTTTGGCAGGACACCCCTGGCTGACAAAAACCATCATCCTGCACACTCATCCTTCTGTACTGCACCCAGCTCTTCTTCACACTGTGGACTGCCCTGGGCTTCCTGTCTGTCTGCAGACTCTGTCTCTTCTTTTCAAATAGTTTACGGGTGGCCTTAATACCTGCTCTCATCTCTGAGGGACCTTTTGATGCCATCTTGACCTCTGACCTTCCACTGACTCCTGTCTGACCTCATCTTCCTCTCCACCCTCATCACTTCTTTCCACAGAAATGACTTGTGGTGAGTGAATGTTTCTTGCATGGTGCTGGTGGCCACAGTTGTTGGCAGGTGTCACGTTGCACAAAATGTTATCAACATTCCCCAGGGGTGTGACTCTAACTAAACGCAATGCCCTGCCCTGTCTCTCATTAATCTGAACTGTATTTGAACACAATCAGACCAGAAAGAGTTGACTTAGGTGAAACTACAACAGGTGAGCTGATTTGTGCTGTTAAACTAGTCTCTCTTAACTAGAATTACAGTCAGAAGCTCGCCAGCATCAGTTTTTTCAGTGAGTCACAGTCACCTTTATGTGGAAAATCAAACTCTTAAACAGGACCATGAACGTATAGATCGTATAGATCACAGGCTCCTGAAAATGTGCTCTTAAAATCACTTTTGTGTTTCTTTTCTTGAGTTTTTGAGGTTGTCTTGCCCAGGAGCACAAAGATATTATGCGTTTCAAACAGGGGTGAGCACCACCTCACCACGGAACTCTTTTTAAACCCAATAATACACTGCTTTACCAAAGTAACTGACGCAAGATCTCAACATTATGACCTCTGCAGCTGAATGCTCTTAATCCCGTCACATCACCAGGGTTGCAGGTTAGACTCCCCAAACATCCAGGATGCAGGATGCTGTGTGTCCGGCCCAGGCTGGACTCCTCTGGTTGGGTGAGTGTGCTTGGAGCGTTGCCGCGGAGCTGATGGATAATGCAGCTCAGTGTTCTAAAGACATTCCTGACATTGCATCAACGCACACAAATCATTCATCAAACACCTACAGTTCTGTACTTTGTTGTGGAAACTGCACTTATGAATCCTGAAAATATTAGAAAGAAACAAAACAAAAAATATACGTTTTTGCCAACACTAGAATAAAGAACTTGCATGAAGTTGGTCCCCATCAAACGCACACCTACACTAAAACTGTCAGTCATCTGTGCTTCGTTTGTGTTGTTTTGTGCTGCAAAAAGTTTCCTTTGTGCAATTATGGTTCTAAGACATTCACAGTTTTATTTTTGCTGTTAATGTTAAATAACCTCAAAATAGGCACAAAATTTTATGAAATGTTTGTATTTTGTTTGTTCTGTCTTGTGCAATGTTAATTTTATTTGTGTTAGTATATTTTTAAGATTATGAATTATTATTTTTGCTGAGATTATATGATGTCATTTCCACTCAGCTGACGGCAGCGGCTTTAGCAAAATTCCACAAAAACTAGTGAAGAGAAACAATCTGAGGCTGTGGAAAAGTCTTCATATTTTATATACAGTAATAACACAGACTTTTCCACAGCCTCAGATCATTTCTCTGTTTTGAAGTGTTTAGTGGAAATTACATCATCATACAATTTCCTCAAAAATAATAATAATTTTAGAAATATACTCAGTACAAACATTTTGTATAAATTTTTTGAGACTATTTAACATTTTGAGGGGCTGGATGATGTCATCAACCCAAAATAAAACTGCTAATATCTTAAGAACAGTCTTCCTGAACATGTGAGACAGACTCTTCTGTGACACTGTTTAAATCCAGACTCAAAACATTTCTGTTTAACTGTGCATATAACTGAAAGGTTTTCATTCCGCACTCTTCTCTCCTATTTATGTCTCTCTTTTTAAATTTTAATCTTCATGATTATTTATGTTTTGATTTGTTTTTATTATGATTTTAATGTATTTCTTATTCTGTAAAGCACTTTGAATTACTTTGTGTACGAATTGTGCTATACAAATAAACTTGCCTTGCCTTGCCTTAAGAATCATGATTGCACAAACAAAAGTTTTTGCTGCTCAAAACAGCACAAATGAAGCACAAATGAATGACAGCATTTTGGGCCTTTTTAAAGCATTTTGAAGCTTCCTGGGAGCCATCTGACCTCAATTTGACCTATGAAAAAAATTGCTAATATCTCAAAAACTAAAAAAGCACAAACAAAACTTTTTGCAGCACTAACGGAGCTCAAACAATTGACATCATTTTAGTGTAGGTTTGTGTTTGATGGGGGCCAACGTCACGTAGGTGAGTAAAGAGGGTATTAGAGAAATCGATCTTTCAAACACATGCCTGAAGAGGTTTTAGATGTCATCCATAAATGTTTGAATCATCTAGCGATCTGTCCCAGGCCCTATTCAAACCCTCCTCATGGTTAGATTCTGTGCAAGGCTCAGCCCACAAGCCACTCATGCTCCCACATGACAATTCTCCATAAATATACAAAATGATACAAACTGTACACAACAACTCCACAAACCTGATGTGATGTGCAGGAGTTCCATTAGTGGGACACACGCTGATTGTGTTGGGATAGAGCTCTGAAGGGGGAGTGACTAAACGCAGGGAGCAAGGGGAGGGGACCAACAGGTGTTGTCTCTATGGAGATACATAGAAGATAGATAGTAATGACGCACTGTGGAACATTTCAAATATATATCAACTTCTCAACTTGTGTGGCAATATTAAATGAATGTGTGAATGTGTGTGTGCTTTCAAATCACGCCCGGCTGACACTAAATGTCTGATATTACTGAGAGTTATGAGCTTTAAACCATGTTAGAATGTTGCCACCTCATCAAGTTTGAGTAACTCTTTATTATTAGTCTGTCTACATCTCCAAACCTTTACTTCAGTAGAGTTTGGCACTTCCAGAGCTGGAATGATCCAAATGATTCTAGTGAAGGTGTGTGGAGTTTAAAAACACAGTGGAGCACTTCCCAGATTACCACATTACATCACAGTGTGGAACATGAGTGTTTTCTTTGACTAAGCCTAAATATGCAGGGTTTGTGTGTTATATTAATTTATTAGTTTTTATTTATTCAACATTTTATCAGGTAAGTCAGTGGAAACACAATCTCTTCTTTGTAATGACAATGTGACAAGAGACAACAACACAAACAGAAAACACTCACACATCAACCAGAACATGAGACAGTGAAACATTTGCAGATTAAAGTTATGAAAGTGTTAAAAGCATGTGCAGTGGTCCTGTAAAAAAACTCTCTGGATGGAGTTTTTAAAAGTCAACAGATGTAAAGATGAACTAGTTTTAAAGTGTAGAAAAGACTAAATTGTGGCTGTTTGCTGCAGGTGTTCCAATCAGTAGGAGCAAGTAGAGGGTGCTCTTGGAAGTACTTTTAAGTGACCCTGTATTAAGCAAAGTGTTTCCTGAACCTCCTTTATTTTCTTTTAAACATGCTCCAAATCTTCGAGACAGATTAATGAATTCTTATCTTCCCCCAGAAAACAAAAGTACATGGCCACAAAAACCCATGGGCACATTTAAGTGTTTGAATTGTCCTCATTGTCCAAATGTCCTTCAAACAAAAACATTCATGGATGTACACAATAGTAGATCATTCACATAAAATTATTTCATTAATTGTAATACTACTCATGTGGTATATCGTCTGTCTTGCCCTTGTCCAGAAGGTTTTTTCTATATTGGCCGAACTAAAAGGCGTATGAGAGATCGCTTAGCTGAGCACAAATATGCGATTAGGGTTAAAAACCAGGACTACCCAATGACTTGCCATTTTTGTGAGAATCATAATAGCAATGACACTCTGCTTCGTGTTGAAGGTATTGAACATGTGAAACCACTGGCAAGAAAAAATAAATCAAAGAGAAGCTTTCTGGATTCATAAACTGAGAGCATGTGAACATCCAGGTTTAAATAAGGACTTTGATCTGTCTTGTTTTTTAATATAATTTTTTAATAATATGTTCTTTTATTAATGTTGCATTTACTACCACTGTAGGCTGATAGGTTCTCTGTGTATATATTATTGTTATTATGATAATGATAGCAATAATAATAAAAAATAATAACACTAATATAATAAAATAATGCTGCTAACAATAAATTATTGGTAACAATAATAATGGAA